ACCAAACTATACACGTCCAAATACAAAGCTACACATGTCCAAATACAAAGCTACACACGTCCAAATACAAAGCTACACACGTCCAAATACAAAGCTACACACGTCCAAATACAAAGCTACACATGTCCAAATACAAAGCTACACACGTCCAAATACAAAGCTACACACGTCCAAATACAAAGCTACACACGTTTAAATACAAAGCTACACGCGTCCAAATACAAAGCTACACACGTCCTAATACAAAGCTACACACGTCCAAATACAAAGCTACACACGTCCAAATGCAAAGCTACACACGTCCAAATACAAAGCTACACACGTCCAAATACAAAGCTACACACTTCCAAATACAAAGCTACACACGTCCAAATGCAAAGCTACACACGTCCAAATACAAAGCTACACACGTTTAAATACAAAGCTACACGCGTCCAAATACAAAGCTACACACGTCCTAATACAAAGCTACACACGTCCAAATACAAAGCTACACACGTCCAAATGCAAAGCTACACACGTCCAAATACAAAGCTACACACGTCCAAATACAAAGCTACACACTTCCAAATACAAAGCTACACACGTCCAAATGCAAAGCTACACACGTCCAAATACAAAGCTACACACTTCCAAATACAAAGCTACACACTTCCAAATACAAAGCTACACACGTCCAAATGCAAAGCTACACACGTCCAAATACAAAGCTACACACGTCCAAATACAAAGCTACACACTTCCAAATACAAAGCTACACGCGTCCCCTTAAAATACAGCCATATACTACTTTTAGATATCTTTACTTCTGTCGGGAGATATAGAACCAAATCCAGGACTCCCCAAAAAATATCTCCCTTGTGTATCTAAATTGTAACAATTCAGATGAAGAAAAGGTTATCAAGTTCTAGTTCAAACTACCTGTAATAATGGGAAATGGAATTTAGAACCATCCTGTCAAGGTGACATACCAACAGGTAAAATCTTGAATTCTTAAATTAACTTTATTACTGAAACTAGAAAATTATAACAGAACCTTAGAAATCATCACGGGTTCTGGAAAACAAAGGAGAACTTGTTGACTAAATGCTGACAGATCGTAAGAATTATTCTAGTTTTCGGTATTTAGATTTTTTATTAATTTCACTGACGATCTATTCTTCAATATTCAAGTTGAGTTTTTTTTTTCAAACTAGATATTAAGTGTCAATCTGATGAAACAATTGATAATTCTGATGCTACAACACCAGTAGGTATATCTGATGAAACAATTGATAATTCTGATGCTACAACACCAGTAGGTATATCTGGTGAAACAATTGATAATTCTGTTGCTACAACACCAGTAAGTATATCTGGTGAAACAGTTGATAATTCTGATGCTACAACACCAGTAGGTATATCTGGTGAAACAATTGATAATTCTGTTGCTACAACACCAGTAGGTATATCTGATGAAACAATTGATAATTCTGATGCTACAACACCAGTAGGTATATCTGG